TAGCCACTCAATTGTTCTAATTGCATAAATTAATAAAAGTCAGCCACTTACTTATTCCTCCCACTGACAAAATACCAGCCCTAAAGTGACACAAAGGCGTCGACCTGCCGCTTTGATGTTCCAGCCGCAAGAACTGTCTAAAGTAAATCAAATTAGCGTAATATTGTATTACATATGTATGCACGCTTCTTATGTGTTGAGCGCTGCCATGCCTACGTATGCATATGTAGTATGTATGATTGTTGGTGCATGTGGGCGGATATATATACTTGTGCACCCCAATACTTCGTCAAGCTCGCCATGTGTTGGGGATGTCTAAATTTCCGCATACATTTTTTATTTTTTTATTTTTTTTTCTCTTTGCTTAATTCACACAACCACACGCTTTTTTTAAGCGTTTGCCTCTCTGTCTTTATAAGCATAAAATTTTTCATGCCTACAATGAGTGAAAGACAAAGCTCAGTAGTTAATTACACTTTTGTTCTCTGGCGCGCTGATTTTACGACAAATAACGCCATGCCATTCGACCCTCGACATCAAAGTTCAAATGTTCGAGTAGGTTGTATGGAACACAGTGCCTTGTGGTACAGCGCTCTCACAAGTATAGACAGCCTACTGGCATTATTCGTCGGATCGAGAGCTGACAATTTAGCTTCTACCATTGTTCGTTTATTTGCACTAATTCAACCTTTGGTTGGGTGAAATTGGCTGATTCCACACGTTTGATGTGCGGCAAACTTGGTCTTGTCTTTGGTTCATATGTCACGTATACGCCCCGGTAGCACTGGTTTTCCGCCACACATATGTATGTATGTATGTATGTATGTGTGTGTACGTCCACACAAAATGTGATTGGACGCATTCGTACGTGCGCCTCGTACTTGTCTGCATTACTTTGCTCTTGAACGTACGCTTACGCTTACTGCGACAGTTGCAACACTAAATATGAATTGTCTTCGGTGTGACTTGACATTGTCTCCACTTCAATTAGTTGCCGCGCCAACAGTTACACCCTTCCTGTTAGATTAACTCGTCGTTTTGGTTTTATGAACACTTACAAGTCATTGACTTGGTAATAACCTCTACTACGTATGAATATTGAGGTTGGTGGAAGGATCCTCCAATATGGTAAGGATACGAGTGTGAATTTTTGTGAATGGGGATATGTAGTGACATTCAAGTGGCGCTTAATATAGATATAAAAAATCATTAAAAAACATGTAGACCGCATGATTCCCCATAGAAATAAAAATCGGTACTGTTTATCCACTGGAATTGTAAAATATATTATAGTACAAGACTTGCGCCAAAATATTTCGGAAAAATATTAAGATTTACGTGAGTTGGACCGGATTTGAAAATACCCCCAAAAAATTAAGTTTTTTATGAATAAAAATTGTTTTTTTGAGTATTTTTTTTGGAAAAAATCACCCCAGATGACAAAGGAGTTTAAGCTTACAACACTTGCATTAAAATATTTGCAAAATTTTCAATGGAATCATAATAATGAGATTTTTTATGCTGTTTTTGAACTTTTTTCGAAGATTGATTTAAGAAAAACTTGAATAACTCAACCAAACCTTTACCCATTTAGACTTATGGGGTACCATGAGAAAGGTATTTTCTTACCCTATTTATTTCTTTGCAAACAAACTCATTCACGTCACAATTTTTTTTCGCAAACAACAACATATCTTATTCAACTTGGAATGACGCTCGTTCATTATTTTTATTCTTTTATTGACTTTATTTGCAAAGAAATAAAAAGAAGGAGAAAATAATTTTGCTATGATACATCATAAGTGTTAATCGATATGGTTTGGCTAAGGTATTAAATTTTTTGTTGAATCTATCTTTAAAAAATGATAAAAAAGCGCATCAAAAATCTCATTGAGATGATTCCGTTGAAAAATATTTTTAATATTTATTTTGAGACTTATATAATAGAAGCCTTTTCATAATAATTACCAGCGAGATAATTTTTTAAGTCTTCAAAGAATTTTATTTTGAGACTTATATTATAAAAGTCTTTTGATAATAATTATGATTGAGATAAATATTATTAAGTTTTCAAAGACTTTTATTTTGAGACTTATATTATAAAAGTCTTTTGATAATAATTATGAGCGCGAAAAAATTTTGTATATAGTCCCGAACGGGTCCCAAACCAAGCCCCATCTGATCCCAAACTACTCCCCAGCTAGTCCCGAAGTGATCCCGACCCAGCCCCGAACTGATCCCCAACTAATCCTGAAATGCACCTGAACAAGTCCCGTCTTTTAAGACTTAAACATTTGTTTCGTATTCATAATTATTATGAAAAGATTTTTATAATATAAGTCTTAAAATAAAAATCTTTGGAGACTTAAAAATATTTGTCTCTCCGATAATTATTATGAAACCACTTTTATAATATAAGTCCTTGGATAATAATTATAGAAGACTGCAAAAATATTTATCTTAATATAATGATTATTGATTGACTTTTAGTCTTCTCTGCTTAAAACATATCAAACGAATCTTCAGCCTATGCACTTCGAATCGATATACCACAAAGTCTGAAAAACTATGCATTTGCTGAAATGTTTTCAATTTTAAAAGCAAACTTTTATAGCATCAAATTTTTAGCATCTTTTCTTTTGATGCCCTTTAATGATGCAATTTGAAAGCACTTCTTGCATTTGTGTGACGTATGTACGTACATTTAGCACAAGCTGTTATCTTGATTATCTCATTCAAGTTGCCAAATCACTTGGCGTTAATGTCCAGTGTTGACAATGGCCACTGGGTACGTAAATAATAACATTAAAATAATTATGTAAGAATCTTTTTGCCAGCTTAAGCACATCAGATGTTGTCTACCTCATAAGTAAGTAAATTGTATGTAGTATATCGGGAATGCCTCGTACATATATATCGGGCTTACCCAAATGTGCTGTTAGAAAGTCGTTATGCGTATGGCTGTTATTGCCATTAAAACTTTCAAGTTTATATGCTCATATTGTCGATGACTTGAGAGCAAGAAATTGAGTAGATTGAAAAGAGAAGTGTAGAGTGTAGTACACACCATGATAAAAATATAGTAAGGTAGAACCGCTGAGAGTCACTTTTAAAATTCTTGACGTTTCCAAACAATTTAATTCTTAAATTTACTCACAAACTCACACACACACATTTTTATTTTCAATCTCAAGCAACAACAATTTCGAACAATTTCAATTTTTTATTTTCACTTTTATATGATTTTAAAATGTTGGCAAACTTCAAAAAAAAATCATGGCCGACAAATTGAGAGAACGGTTCTACCTTGCTATGTTTTTATCATGGTACACACTATAACAATAAGTAAAAAGTTTGCCTGCCTTTTAACTGACTGTTGTGTATTTATTTATTTTCAACTGTTAGCAACGTTTTTTTTTTTAATCATTTGAATGGAATGCTAGCCATTGCCTGCTAAGAACTTTTGATTTGGACAATGCAAAAATAGCACAAGTGAGAATGGTTTGTATAGCAAAAATTCTTGGTTTAGGTTGAATCGACTAAAGAGCAGAACTCTCCTCAAACATAGGCCAAGAATGAGAGCGCTGTGATAGCTTATGTAATACTAATCCCTTTTTCGATGTCTTGAACTTTACCGATAGCCATATTCCCACCTATGATTTCTTTTTCAAGCTTAAGTAATCTTATTCTATGATCTTGCAACTAAAACATTGGTTTGATGCGTCAACCTTGAATCTTATCTCATTTAAGGAAACTGAAGAGCACATAGTATGTTCGTTTTCTATCTTCGTAGGTCCAAGAATCCACGTTTTTTTTCAGGACGCAAATTTTTACCGTACATTGTCTAATGGTGATTTCGTTTCTGCCAAAAAATGTCGCCTTTTGATTTCCCTTTTCTCTTTTTATGTTCGATTCTAAATGAAAGGCAAAGGGTGAGAAAATTTTATCACACACTCTTGTAATGGAGAAAGGTCACATTCTCTGCCCTGTGAAGTTTTGCCAGGGAAGATGGTTGCCTTAAAAATCAGATGGTTGTTTAAAACGACAATTTTATGAAATGCGTGACCCAAACAAGGACAAGAGGGCAAAACATGCCTTTTTACAGGGTTGAGTTTAACGTCAAACCCATTTTGCACCGGATACGGGCTAAAATTTTTGGAAGAAACGAAATCACCGTAAATTAGTCTGCAGAGGCAAAAGAATTGCTTAGAAAGTCAAAATCTAGAGAACAAAAAGCAAAAAATATAAAAAAGATTTAAAAAATAATAATATTCTATGGAAACTGCGATTATTTAAATTTTTCAGTTGTAAGGGAAAACGCAAAGGCCGTATCAGACGTTTGGGCACTGGCCTTGCCCCAATTTTGATATACTTATGTACTTAAGTTTATAGCCCAATAATGTGATCGGGTGACTACCAAAAAACAAATTTGTACAAATGTTAGAAATTGTGAAATCCGGGCTCAATAAAAAATTAGGTCAAACCCGTCAAAAATATTGCATATGTTCGAACTAAATTTTTTTTCATACTATGCGGCTGGTTCATAGCTCCGCATAGTGATTTCTATAGAAGCTGTAGAGATGAGGCAAAAATAAAAAATAATTGACCAGATTCTATGCGAGTGCTCCGCGCGCCGAAGAAAGCGACTTAATTTCAGGGGGAGTGTTTATTCACGAACTTGAAGAGCCTTGAATAAATTCATTGATAGACGGTCTAATGTAATTTGATAGAAAATAATGATTGTTTAAAGACTTGTAAGGACAGGTCAAGGGAAAACCTCTGCTGGGCATAATAATGGACCTGAGTGAGCTCTTAAGCTAAACCTACCCGTCCAACCTAATCTTAAATCTCTTCAATAGTCGAACGGGAGTTTTAAATATGCGGTCGACTTTCATAAATAATTAAAATTAAGCGATGATTAGCAGCCAAATATTTTTTTAAGTTCTACGTAGTAAAATTACAAACTAATTTTGTCCTCCAATATTCTCTTTTTTTTACAGATTTGCTCATCGAAATGTTGGGCGTACTGGCCAGTTACAGCATCACAGTGAAAGAGCTCAAACTACTCTTTGGCACCATGAAGGCGGTGAACGCCAAATGGCCCCGCCACTCTGCCAAACTGCTGAATGTTTTGCGTCAAATGCCACACCGCAATGGACCGGATGTGTTTTTCAGTTTTCCAGGTCGCAAAGGATCGGTAAGTTAACTAATAGCAAATGAGTTCAGAAGCCTTAAGAAAATATTTCGGCGCTTGCGTTTACGTTTACATTTATTTGAAGTTCTATTGTTAAAACCCACACACAAAATTTAAAGGTTTACTAAGTGGCGGGCAATCCGAAACCTGACAAAGATGAAAAAAGGAAGGTTAAACAAGGACTGCAGTAAATTAAATCGTTTCGTCCATTACTTTTCTCCTTACGGCTGCACAATGTTTACGCTGTTGGTCGACAGCAACATTCTCATGCGTAGGAGCAGCCTAATGTTTTATTTACTTGCGAATAATTTACAAGAATGTTAACATTACGTATACATTTTACACTACGTGTGTAGGTTCTTCGTCGGTTACAATTCACTTTGAGCAAATTCAAGGCTTCACTTAATTTTCTTGCTGTAGCGCAATTTTACGTCATGCCACGTAATACGATGTTGCATTATTAATGCTACTGTTAGTTTGTATCGGAATGTGAGTGAGAATTGCCCCTTTTGTATGTTTGTTTAACACCTTCAGTGCACAAGTAACCTGCCGTCCTGCTATGAGATGCTGTGTAGTTCTTACGCTGTGTTGACTACTTTACTCAATCCCCACTATATCACCCGCTTAATCTGCCCTTTTTTTCGTATATCTTTCCATCTTTTTTTTGTCGGTAGCAACCGGAGCAATGGTTTGTATTTTATTCTCGTCCATTTGCTCCCTCGCTTTTTATTACATCATCATGTGGCGAAATGTTTGCTTTTATTTCCATTTCATTTTTATTTGCAACTTTATGTGCAAAGATTCGCGCGCAAATCGAATCCCAAATGCGCCGCGAGCTGTATGCTTGAATTCTTTGTTTTTATGTTTACTTTCGCTTTTTTGAATTAGACGTTTGTATTCTTTTATTTGAATTAATCGACTGATCGCTGTGTATGCATGTGTATTTGTGTGTGTTTGTGTTACCTCGAGTCAATAAACGGTAGCCATAAAACGTGTGCAACGATCCGTGAAGGCGTTGTAACTCTGTTTTTGTTTAATGGCATGCATACCAATAGGCGCAGAACCTAAATAAATGTGAAAAAAAATGCTCCCTGTAATAAAGTTCGATTGATTCTACATATAGAGAGCAATTATTTCTACAGAGAAAACAAAATGGAATTAAGCTTTGTTTCATTTCGCAGGAAAAATAAAAATAAAAAATTGTTTGTGTATCGAGGCCATAATATACTTTTAAGAATAAATTTGCTGCAAAAAATTTAAATTTGTATGAAAAATAAGTTAATAGTAAAAAAAATATTTTTAAAGCAAGCTTTCTAAATATGAACCAAATCGGATTATAGTAAATACGGATTTTACAAATATCTCAACTCCTGCGCCACCTATCGGATTAATTCATCTTTCATTGCATTGTTTTGCATTGCATTGCATTGCATTGCCATCGGGGTTTGAACCAAATGTGAAGTTTAAAGTCTTTTGGTCATACGTACATACAGAGCAAGTTAAATAAAAGCTTGTAATAAATAAATTTTTGATTTTATTCTGTTATAAATTATTCAATCTTTTTTTCTTTTTGTTTTTGAAGTGAAATTTCCTAATTGAATTGGTCAGAGCTAAAAACGAAGCTAAAGGCACAGATGCAAATAAAGAGTCACAACTGAAAATGCGGATGTTTTTAATTATGATATAATGATCACTATACTTCACCCACAATCACCCGGTTCCATCTCAACTCGCCTGAACTCACCACACCTCAACTTACCTCATCTATTCTCAAGTCAACTCACCCTAAACCACCTCATTTGAAGGGGAGTGAGGCATTCACCTGCTAGCTTAGAGCATAGCTTTAGTGAGCTCAAGACCATGTTTTCCGTTTAGTAATAAAAGTAGATAAATCTTTATCTTGCTTGCCGATGTCTAGAGGTTGAGCAGGCAATCGGCAGGACCGCTTCCACAATGCTTTCGTCCAGCTTCGCTTCATTCGTATGGAAGTTCATAGGGGTACCTCCTTTAAGCGTCTGCCTCCCGTGCACTTATGCCTCAGGATCATATGAGTGTAGAAACTGCCCGCTGGTGACCGTATTAGCGATAGTCCAAAAAAATATTGAACCCGTAAGTAAATGTGGTTGAAGAGAGGAGACGCTTTTAGGCGGCAAGGCTTGCGTTAACGTCAAAGCAAGTTAGTTATTATTGAGATCGGAAGGGAATAGTTCAACTTAAGAGGCCCAAACTGTTGACATAACTCTTTTGAGTCAGCAGTCGAAGCAAATAATTAAACTTTTACACATTCACCGTGTGGCGCAAATCTTGCCTCGACTAACTAACAATAGCTGTGTCTTTGCAAAGCTGCATCAAAAGAGGCCTAAAGCAAACATTTCCCAGAAGGAAAACATGAAAAAATTTATTATTGAAATTAGCTGCTGTATGACCGACACACGGAAATGAAAATCGCCGCAAAGTTTTTTTTCCATTTTTTTATTATTTTCCTAGAAAAACTCCTCTCATCTCATACTGAAATACCATTTGAATTTTGTTCTTCAAAATTATGATTTACATCAAAAGGGAGACAATGATAAAAGTTGATTTCCAATTTGGCTGCTGCCGCTAAAAAATGCAAATAACTTTTTAACTTTTGTATGCAACATCAGTGGGAAAACTTTACAACATTTTCTGTTCTGTTTTTTTTATTGTCAGCCTCTTATGTTTTTCTTATTTTTTCGTTCAGTATTTTTTGGTGATTGCTACGCCAGAGGTTATTCCAGCAATCCTTATCTATTGCTTTTTTTCGCCATCTCGTCTGGACACATAGAAAATTATTGCGTTGCCAATTTCAAATTTTCATTGCCTCATATTTCAATTTAGCTGGCGCGTGCAGCAATGTCACAACTTTTTCCGTCATACATGTACATGTATTTTTTAGCCAATACAGCATCCTTTTTACATACGTATACACATGCATATATAGTCAAATATTTTAGCGTACGCTTCTTTACAACCTTTTTTGCATAACTTTTCCATTGAAATATCTAAAATATTGGCAAAGTTTTGTTGCAAAGTACCGGCGCGCGCTCATGTAACTGCCCTGCGGCCAAAGGGAATAAATGACAAAATTGCGAATGGCTTTTAACAATGATGACAGCCAGCAGCGAGTGGAAAATAAAAAATCTTTTCTAATAAAAAAAAAACTAAAGAGAACTCTACAAAAAGGGCTGATGGCATGTGGTTTCTATGGGGAGAGTTGGATAGCTCCACGAAATTCCCATGTAACACATTTCACTAATAAATTGGTCAAAATTATTCCCAACTCTATTACGGATGACAGACGACAGCCACAGCGGCGGTAGCAGCAAGTTGCCTCTATAACAGTAACGCTGTATGGAAATATTGTCTACAACCAGTAGCCTAACAGAAAAACCAGCTAGCCAGCCAGCAAGCCCACCACTAACGCAACTCTTCCATTGCTTTGCTTCTAACCACTTTTTTTCCACGTTGTGAGAGTTTTTTTTTTTACTTCGGATTTTTGCATTTCAAGTCTCAATTGGTAAAAGCGCGTAGAAGTTGATCGGGCCTTAAGGGCATACTTAGCGTCAAAAACGCGCCAACAATAGTTTTGGAAACGAGAATTGATTTTTTATTACAGACAAATGGGTAATGCATGCTGACATTTGATAGTTGGTTGCAAACTGCGAAATGTTGAAAATAAATTGGGTTTGTCAAATTGCAATGAAAGTTGGATTTTTTTTTTGTTTTTAAGCACACTGGTATGGGGGTAAAGAGTGCTAAATATTTATTTTTGCAAAGAATATACGATGCCTAAACGAATACAAGCGAAAGGTTAAAAACAAAAGTCCTTTTATGGTCAAATCTGCGCTGAAGTGTAACTAGAAAGCTGCCTGATTGCCAAGACAGCGCTACAATCCCACAGCACTTCCTTTAGAAGTGTGGCGGAGTGCAGAGCAGCTGTGAATTTGCTATATTTCAATAGTGATATATATCGGTACTGCGTAGCGGGCAACGAAGTGGCCGACAGGCTGGCCAAAGAGGGTGCTCTGTCGGAAACCATGTCGATAGAAGAGGTGCCGATTTCCCTCCCAGCGATTATACGGGAACTCGACCTGTCCATGATCCGGAAGGCGCAGAAGGCGTGGAACAAAACGCAAGGCTACAAGTTGTCCAGGGTTATGTACGGAGAGTATGACATAATACTCACAAGGTTTTTACTTTCCCTCAAGGGGGAGTACGCCAGGCTACTAGTGAGGGTTCCAATTGGGCATTGCTTGCTGGAATCGCATGCCTATAAACTGGCTCTGAGAGAGGAGGAGACAGTGGAGCATATCTTCTGCAAATGTCCTGTCCTTAGCAGACAGCGGTTTAGTCTACTGGGAGCAGGTTTTCTACCTAATCTGGAAGCCGCCGTCAAAGTAGGGTATAACAAGTTGTTCCAGTTAGCCAGTTAGTTGCACCTGGTTTGCGGTGATTGACTGTCTAAAGTGGTTATCTGGTAATAAGAGGGACTTATTGGTCTTTTTCTACCTTCTCTTTAGCAAAAATACTGGAGCCCGTTTTTTCCCTGCGTAATTTAAGCAATTGGTGGTTGATCTTTTGAAACAACTCGAGAACCTAATTTCTCAAAGAGCACGAATGAAACAAAGGTACAACTAAACCTCAGAACTATCTAGCATTGCGAAATAAAATGGGACCTGATGGAATTTAAAATATAACACTGGCTGGAATTGAAATAACATCTACAAATATTTCTGTAGCTCTTTCATATAAGTAAACACACTGGGAGAAATCCTCGTAGCTACTATATGCGACAAGATATAAAAATTTAACTAGGAACAATATGGTACATCCGAAATCCAATTTGTATTATATAAAGCGAGGTCAGTGCCATCCAACCACATAGCAACAATCTTTGAATGTTTTGTTAAGCTCTGAATACCTTCACTCTAAAATAAACGAAATATTAAACGAAGCAGTTTCATTTGAGACGTGAAACGCAAGACTCAACACGCTGATGGATTAGACAAAAAGTATGTATGTAGATGAAATGAATCAGAGAAAGACAGTTGAACCTATATTAAGCTTAATTTTTAACATAGCGCTATAGTATGTTCGCAAAGAGGGCGACTTGAAATATTGACTGATGAACCGATGGCGAGGCGGCCGCAGTTAAATTATTTCAAAGAAGAAGCAAATCCAAAAATCGCCTGTGTACGCCGACTGCGCACTAAATTTGTCCTAGCTTTGTGCAATTCCAAAGGCAGAGGGAAGCGAATGAGCGAGCCTGCGTTTATAATGGCTTCACGATTGATTGGAAAAGTTAGAAGTATCCTTAGCAGAGAGGTGGCATATTGATTACTTTTTTTTTTGTATAACGTGAAGAAAAGCTTTATTGTGGTTTAACGCGGTTGGTGCTTACTCTCCATTAATTTACCAACAATTTGCACGCCCTGAACGTATACGTCTTCGATTCAACCCTATTTTTTATGCTTCACCCATAAGTACTTTGTGGCATTCAATTATGCCATAAACCCCATTGTGGCAAGTATTTTCATACTAAATCATCCTTTGGGCCCTCTCATGTCAATGCAAACCGAGTGCAATTGTGGTCACAGTTTCTTTTAACTTTGTGCTAAACAGAAAAATGCGCAACCAAAAAAAAAAAAAGCAAAAGCAAAGTAACCAAAGTTAACAAGTGTAACATAGTGCGTCTGCCCGCAATGAAACAAGACACCAATACATAGTACTACTACGCAGATTGCCACAATAAATCATAAACTCTCATTTCCTCTTGATTTCTGTGCGGCAAGTAAGAAGTAGATATTGATTTATGATCTTTACAGTTCCAACACCAATGAATGGAGGAAAAACACATAGAAAAGTATGCAGATAGCATTTCATACAAGCAAACGCACATGTACATATATATGTACATGAAAATCAAAGCTAGTATACGGAGCTTTGCACTTTCTTTAGCCCTTCTCTCGATAAGGTCGCATTGGGTTCTATATGTTATATGGATGTATGTATATGTAAATGTTTCTAACCTAACCACTCAACGCAATCCAATTTCGTTAGTTATGTGAAATGTGACCGTTGTAAAGCCATATGCTGCTACACTCTTTCGCTTGAAGAAATTTGCAACTAAGGAAGCTAGTGGTAGTAGCATACATACGGGCGTATAAATGAAAATATTCTTCTCTAATGTCCTTAGGGTTAGCAGTCAAATGCCAATAGTGAACTCAAAATGCACGTCCACTAGCATATAGTTCTTGCACGTATACATACATACATGCACATGCAACACCGAAGCAGTTAACTATTTTATTAGCTATCTGAATCTGTTGCTTCTGATGTCTGCTTTTAGGCGTACCACATAGGAAATGACATTTCATTTTTGAGACGTTATTTGCCGAAAAGCTTTTAGTGTATTAAAAGATGCATGTGTTTTTAATCGGAATTCATATTTTCATTTATTATGCATGGGAGCGGTGGGGTTGTTTTAAAATAACTTACATATACATATGGAGAATTCACAGTCTTTTTTTGGCTTTAACTAGCTCACAGTTTCCTTTAACTTAAATTTAAAGGTATTTGGTAGTCATTGATTTCGAATCTGAACATATGGATGTTCCTCTGCGTTGACAACACAACTCAAAATTGTACATGCAATCTACGAGTATAAGGTTTGATAAAATTAACAGTGAGCTCTCAATAAACCTGATGTGCAGGCCACCGGATTTCTGCAGCTTCTTTAGGGCTACTATATAGTAGCTAATCAGTACTTACCAGTGTTTTGTTGATTATAAGGTTGAATGGATATTCTGATAGTAAAGCACCAATCAGGGCTCTCGTAATTGAAACTGGCCGGGGAATGTCGGACCTCTCTCTCAATATTTCCAAATGAAGCTGATTTTGGGTGGTGCTGTATTGGCTAGGTAGGCAACCCTTGAGACTATCACCTCTGACAGGGAGGGCATAGGAGTTCCTTTCGGCAACTTTCGGTCTGCTTCTGGACAGATAGGCTTACAAGCTGTTCAACGAGAGTTGGGAAAAACCCCGACATACAAAGTTGCAAGGTTCTTCTGGCCAGTTGTTGACCGCGGGAAGTCAAGGTAGCTTCTCCCGTACCGGACATTGTGCTTTAGTAGCCTACGCGGTTCGACTTAATACCATAACGGAACAATAGCTATTTAGAGGACGAGGTAGAATCATCCCAGAACTTCCATCTCAGTTGCCGGCATTCGTTAGACTAAAGTTTAAATACCACGGCGCGCATTTCATCAACACTACCCAGGAACTCTCCGGAGTAGACATGAGCTCCCTTCGAAAATTGCTCTTAGTTTAACGCAGATTACCTTTAGTTCAAAGAAATTTACAACGGGAAATCTAATAAATGTCTCACTGAGACCCTCTCGTGGTTTTTATGGTATTAAAAAACAAGTATTGTAACCAAACTTAAAATAAATCTGCAGAACTCTTCTATTAAATATATGTACTAATTTTTGGGTCAACTAAAAATATCAAAAACTCGCTGCTACTATTTCTAGAGGCTTGCTATTGGAAATATGGTTTTATTTCATTGGAAAAAATTTAGATTTTTGAACGGATTTGCGCCGAGTAAAGACTTTTCAGTTAGTTATTTTCTTAAATTTGTTTTTCGATTAACATCTGGTGGAATTCTGAGCCAGGGTAACTTAGATTGACGTCACGTTAGTTCAACAAGAGGATTAGAAAAAAGATAGGACCAGCTTTAGGACATATGTACATAAAAAAGTGGTATCAGAGCTGTAAATAAACATACCTTACAGGAGTTAGAGTGGGTAGCGGGATCTACTCTGGCGAACTCGCACTAAATGTCAGTTTTCGCTTACCGGACCATTGCAGCGTTTTTCAATGCGGGCATATCTCTAACCTCCTGCAAATACAGACTAAAGGCGAAACTCGTTGAGGAGGTAAATATAAGATGGGCTGTGGAAACCACCTGTCATATTACCAGGCAAATATGGCCAAAAATTGATGTAAAGCGATCCATAGCTCTCACCCGGCTGGACCGCTCCTCTCTCAGATTAGTAGTCGGGGTAATCACCGGACACTGCCTGATGGGCACACACGGAAAGAGGTTAGGATACCTCACCAATGATTTCTGTCGCAGTTGCAGAGACGAGGAGGAGGTGGAGACCATCGAACACTATCTCTGCCATTGTCCCGCGTTGGCCAACATGCACAACCAATTCTTCAACAAGTACTTTGTAGACTGTTTAGCCGATTTGAACTCGGCGAACGTTCTCGACTTTTTGTGCTATATTAAACGCACTCGGTGGTTCAACTACTAAGGGAGGGAAAGAAACAAATGGCTTCGGCCAGTGGTATCACAACGGGCTTTTCCAACCCACGCGCGGGGCAGCCACTCTAACCTAACTTAACCTAACCTACAGGAGTTAAAGACACTCAGAAGATAGTTGACCAACTTGTTTTTAAAGAAAAGTATTGGCTAGCATCCACACTATGAACGTAGCGTGCCACTCTCTGTGCTTCGAACTAATTTGGAAAACTATTGTGTACCAAAGAGTTCGTAGTGTCCTAGAGGCATTTTACAGCCGCAAAATGGCCTTTGGAATGCAATGGGGACTTTCGCAGTCCCCAATAGTTTGCATTCTATAGTCATCACTCAAGTCTTATGAAAAGCTATATACAGAGGGAACACCGCTGTAGGGCTTAACCCTTTTAGGACCGATCCTGTTGTTTTTAAATATTTTTTGTAAGGATTTGTTTTAGATTATACTTGAGAATGTCGTAAAGGCAATAAGCAGAACCTCATGCCATGTTATGGACAATTCCTCGTTTTTTCTCTGTGCGCAACATAAATGTTGCTAACTATGGTTCTGCAATATTTTAAAAAATTTCCATAATGAATTATATTTTTTTAACAAAAGGGTTTAACTATAAAATTTAATATAGATAACGAATTAAAGACATCTGAGCTTGCAAAATATTTTGTAGTTTTTTCATGGAACTTTGTAAAAATTTTTAACAATATTACATAACCTAAAATTATAGACGTTGAAATTGTATACCAGTTCATACGTATTTAAGAATAAACCAACAATAATATGCCGTCAAAAAAGTTGTAAAATGATCTTTAATCTACAACCCCTGCACATTTTTGTTCATATTGAGGCAGCAGATGGCGCCAGCTAATATAAACACAGTGATACTAGGTGAAATTAAACGAAATCAACTTAATGGAATCAAAGTTAACTTAGAAGCCCACCGTCTAAATTTCGCTCATTTAAGACCGCAAACAATGAAACGACCAGAAAAGAGTGAAACGAAGATTACTAGTGGCAGATTAGTGGCAGAAAGATGAAGCAGGGAGCCAGCGCCGATCTTGGTACAGAGGACCTAGTCAGTCTGTCGTTTAGTCATTCAAACGATGGCCGCGCCCTCGCAGCTGAGATTATTGCTAAAGGGAAGGCAGCTAGAAAAATTTGTTTATGAATAGCACAGCCAGGCGACCCTATAGTGGTGATTGGTGTACAAATAAATGACTACATCTACAAGTCCTTCTCTGCCCACTTTTCCTTCATTACTTTTCAAAATAATTACCGCAATTACTTTAAATTTTACAATGAAAGCTAATAGATGTTTGAAAATAAAAAATACCTAGGAAAATCTAAATGAAGTTAATTGTTGTGCTCATAAATCTCACGCTCATTTCAAATCTCAAGCATTTATTGATTTCCTCCTCTTTTGTTCTTTTTTTTTACTTTTCTCCCATTGTAGGCTATGGTGTTGCCGCCATTAGCGAAATGGCCATACGAAAATGGCTTTACATTTACAACGTGGTTTCGTTTGGATCCTATTAATTCGGTGAATATCGAGCGCGAGAAGCCCTACCTCTACTGGTGAGTATAAATACACATACCTATACACTTATATTTACAAAGAAATAAATGTTTCAATACAACAATAACAGCTACAATTATGTTGCGTTTAAGTTTTTACTTAGCCAACTTCTAGGCTGCCGCCTTACTTTTTACGCTCTACCTACATATACATATTCTTTCCATCACTCAATTTTCTATGCTTGCCTTGCCCAGCATTCTTCCCCCACAATTCATTTTATTGGCATTTCATTTGTTTCACGCTTTTTCGTTTCTGCCTCCATTTCATCTTAATAGTCAACCATTTGATTTAATTAATTTGAAATATTGCTGCAATTTGCAATTCATTAATGCTTCTCCGCTTGGTCAGCTTAATAGCAGCATACCCATTCCATATTCTTGTTTTTTTTTTGCTCTCCTTCTTTGCTACTTCAATGCCTCCTTCAAACTAATTTGTTCGATTTTCTTCTTCACTTCATTCATACAGCTCAAATTTCAGAAGTGGCTTCCATTTTCTATTTTTTTTTTACTCACTTCCTCTGTTATGGCATAGCAATTTTTGTTTCAATCTCTCTCGCTATTTTCGTATTTTCAGTTTTAAAACATCGAAAGGCGTCGGCTATACAGCTCATTTTGTTGGCAATTGTCTGGTGCTTACATCGATGAAAGTCAAAGGCAAAGGTTTCCAGCATTGTGTGAAATATGAATTTCAACCGAGAAAGGTAAGTAGTAACTATGTATGTATGTATGAATGTATTGATGTATATAGCAGCATTTTGAATTGGTCTATAAGGCGTACGAATATTGGACATTTTCTACTTTTAAGTAATTACAATGAATCGCTTTTAAGTGTGGCGCAGGCGATCGATGCCAAGTGTGGGTGGGTGTGAATGGCTGAATATTACATACAATAAATGTACTCTCATTTAGTTTAATTGACGCAATTACACGTAGCACTTAGGTACATATTTATGTATATACTAAGAATTTTAAGAGTGTATAGTTGTGGGTGTGGCGGTTCCCTTTTTAACACTTTTTCGAATTTATAGGACATTTATTAAAGTGTTCATAACCCTTTTAGTTAGTTAAAAATAAAGAAAATTAAAAGCCAAGCACCCACTCACTTTAATTTGCTTTGGCGGCTTGAAACGTTTTCAATGCTGTGTGGTTGAAAAGTTCAGGTCTGTTCCCGAAAATTAAAAATAGAATTAAAAATAATAAAACTCCATCTTTTCAAATTTGTTTTTAAATTAATTCACATTAATTCTTACAATTCAAAAAATGATGATAAAGATGCTTATACGCATATATATGTATGTATTTAAATTTACTAAAAAAAATCGAATTAAAAAAAGCGATTTTTCAAAAACGGCAAATTTGTTCATTCCACAAGGGACACCGAATATTCCATAGGTCCAAAATAATACGAAATATTTTAACAACATTGGATCACGAATTTCAGTTTAGTCTTTGTTCTCCAGACGCCACTATCCAATTCCTATGTAGAATTGCCCGGTGATTCCGAAAATCGAGTTAATTTTTAAAAAAGGGGTAGTTCCACTTAATCACGTATGTCTTACGAAACAACTGAAAAATCGTAATGCGAAATACGGCAAATGAAAGCCAATGAAATTCTCCATACACCTGATATACATCACTTTTTTTTAAATGATAACTCCAGGTTTTTTATTTTTTTTAATAAAAAAATTGAAACTTTAACAGGGGAAAAATAAAATAATAACGACTGTTTTCTTTTTTTTTATGTTTTTGTTAATTAGTTTCTCCGAAACTATCAGACTCCTCGAAAAGTGATGTATGCATGTGTTATTGAGAATTTCATTGGCTTTAATTTCCCGTACTTCGTATTACGATGGTTCGACTATTTCTTAAGATATACGTGATTAAGTGGAACCACTCTTTTTTTGAGCTGAATAATAGTCGAATCCAAATATCTCAAAAACGTATCCATAGCAAAAAAAAAAATTAAAATTACATAGGAATTGGATAGTGGCATCCATTGAACATTCTTGTTGTAAACCAGTGTAATTATCGAATCATTCTGATTCTTATGGAGTTTTGCGAAATTCTTGAAGAAAATGGCTATAAGAAGTGTTTTCTCTCCCGTTAAATACTAATTACTTAAATTACGTTGAAACTTAGCCGCACCACATTTTGACAAGTTTCACCATTTTCTTTTTTTATTTGATTTTGATTAAACTTTTATAAAAATATAGTCCAGTTTTTAACAAATCCCCTATAAACCAAGCAATATTAAAAAAAATCAACAAACTTTCGTAAAAATTTTGCGCTTTTTTGATTCGATTTTCTAGAAAGATTCAGAGTATGCGGTTCTATAGCCCATTAAATTCTAATAAAATAAAGTATAACTTTCAAATGGCTTAAAATTACGGTTGAGTTTTTAGAATTTTTTTCGAAGATGTTACTGTTTTCTTCCATATAAAAATAAATTGTATTCGTTATATGCAGCAAATGGGACAAAAAAATCTAAAAAAGCAACCGTAATTTTTAGCTATTTGGTACTTGTACTTTATTTCACTAAAATTCGATAGGCTGCAAAACTGTGTACTCGGAATCCTTCTAGAAAATCTAATTAAAAAAGTTGGAAATTTTTAGGAAAGTTTGTTGATTTTTTTATAAATATTGCACAAATGTGGTGCGGCTGTAATTGTTTCGACCACTGTATGTATTTCGAGTTCTTGTTTTCAGACACCTTTAGTAAAAATTAGCATGCAATATGCTCGTAAATTGGTTGACCCTTCAACTGCCCGCATCATGGTTTGTTTCGGACCTTTAAAAAGGACAGCTTCAACCTTAATATGTTCCATTGTTTGGATTTTATATCTAAGGAAATGATTCAAAACCAAAGCAATCAGGTTCCACATAAAACCCAAAGACGTTGAAAGACGATTTATTGTTTGTTTTAGAGCTGCCTATTTAAATATCGAACTGTTTCCCTGGATGACAAATTAATATTCTACAGCAACCTCCATAAGAAAAATTACTACGTTTAGCTTGGTGCATTTTTTTCCACCGTCCTCAATATCAACCTCAAAGCTGTGAACTGTTGCATGCCGGCAAATGGATTTCGATTGATTGCTGTATCTTAACTGTATATTACACTGTAGGGGCGCTACACACACAAAAAACGCCGAGACACGTAAACTTCTACATCAGGTCATTTTCCCAAGATAATTCATTTTAATTTTGCATTGCGAGTGAAGAAAAATTCGAATTTTAACATGGAAAATATTACTCATACGCCATGTAGGAGTATGCAAGTATACGGCCATTTAGTAGATACCGCATGGCGTATGAGTTACATTATTTCCTGCTTTTTGCACATTTTCTTTAGACCATTCAAAACATGTTTATTTATGCAACGATTTTCATCGATAGTAGCTAGCTTTTTTGGCAAAGGAACAGGCTTTAATAAAAATGAAAACAAAACACAATAGATTTGTTATTATTTTAATTTTTTCCTTGTAAAAGTTCAATTCTTTTTCATAGAAATTAAAAAAAAAAAATTAAAATTACCTGATCTGTAAAAACAGCATACAGATCCGTTTTGCTTTGATAATGTCTATTTATAATTCTCAAAATATGTGACAGGAAAGTTAGTTTTCCGACTTACGGGTAAAAAAATCGATTTTACATCATTATCTATTCTTAGTAGATGACACTCTCTTTTAAGCGTAACAGACCACAAATGCAGCACGATTTGATAGACCATATAATTTCTTAAATTTCTACCTTTTTCCACCTTGTACTTTACGATATTTTTTCTGGAATATTGCAAATACCCCGTCTCGCAATACTTCTATTACTCGAATATATTTTAACATTTTTTTCTCTTTCCTTACAGTGGTACATGATTGCCATAGTGTACATATATAATCGTTGGACGAAAAGCGAAATAAAGTGCCTCGTTAATGGACAACTGGCGTCCAGTACCGAAATGGCGTGGTTCGTTTCAACAAACGACGTAAGTAAAGAGCAATTTTTACTATTCGTAATTACTTCAATTACCAGCATAATTACACGCACAAATATGTATGTAAATTAGACCATACCAGGAAAAATAAGTTCTTCGTACCCCTTCGAGTCTAGAATACTTTTGTAAGGCAATTCCAAAAAATTTTTTTTATTTTTATTACATAACTGATGAGTTGATTTTTTAAATAAATCGATGTTTTTTTTCCAAAGTTCATTGACCTCAATTACCCTCAGTTCTTATCAACCTAACGTACCACCCTAATGTTAGTAATTTAAAGAACACCAAAATGCATTAAAGTTTTACTAAGGAAGAATTTCGATTATTCCAGTAGTATTTTTTATTGCCGTATGTATTTGCCTTCGTAAAATGTAAAAACGTAAACCCTAAATTCGGCAAAAAAATGTTTGTTTTCGAAATTTCCTTGCATAAATACCTTGGACTCAGGGGTGTATGGCGAAATTTTTTTTTGTTTGTTTGCTCGCAAGTTGGTGCGATCTAATATATCTACAATGATCTACACCTCCTTATTCCTTTTGTAGCCATTCGACAAATGTTACATTGGCGCAACGCCCGAACTGGATGAGGAACGCGTCTTTTGCGGGCAAATGTCGGCGATATACCTATTCAGCGAAGCGTTGACAACGCAACAGATATGCGCGATGCATCGTCTGGGGCCGGGCTACAAGGTGAGTTAAAAATAAAATAATAAAAATAAAAAAAATGAAATTAAGAACATCATAGAGCACTGGCTTTTTACGTTGGTGTAGAAATTATGTATTAAAAATAGTTTTATAGACAGTTTTAGAGAAAACACCGTGCGACAAAAATAAAAAAACATTGCGAAACAGACGAAGAAATCAATTTACACCCGAAGCTTTGAACCAAATGTAGTAAAACCGCGTTTTTGGTTTTTCTCTCCGAAGTCAAGATTTTTTTTAAAGGACTTTGTAGTTTCAAGGATAGGACTAATTCCAAAAATTATTTATAAAATTCAGTACAATGTATAGTAACAATATGGGCACCAAATAAAAGAAAAAATTCTATAGAATTTAAAAAAAAATATTTTTTTTGGTTAGAAAGAATGAATAGGTATTAAAAATTTAATTTAATTTAATTTAATTTTATAAGTAAATAAAGTTAGGAGAATAAATTTAGAGAATGTGCTGGAGTGTATTGAACATATAATTTTTTTTATAATAATTGCAAAATTTCAAAGAAATTTAAGGATAAAAAGACATTTTCACTACCTAATAATCAAAATTTAATCGGTTTTAATTCTACAGAATTTTCTACAATTTTTTTTTAATCTTTTGAAGTTTCTTATATTTTTTTAAATTTCAAAGTTTTTTTAAAAAATTCTGCTTTCAGAAAGAGAAACTAAAAATTTTCCTATATTTGGCTTATGGTTTTACGAGCTTCTATGTTGATTTTTTTGTGTGTAAAATTTACTGTCGCACGGTGAAATAAGTAAATTTCACAGTGTAAACTCACTTTTGTTGTTTCGTCCTCTTTCTTGTTCTCTCTTTCTCAACACGCTGCTTGTACGCACAATCGCAAATGCAACAACATACAACTGCTAAAACAATATATAATTGTTTTCTGCTGTCTTTGTTCAACATTCGATATAATAAATCACCACAAATCGATTTCCTGATATTAAATTTTTTGCTTTCGTATTATATGTATATGAAAATTTAACATACTTGTGTCCATTAAAAATACTTAAACCGACCGAAATCATTCACGAAATCTTTTACGAAATTTCTATTTCATCATTCCAAATTTACCGCGTCGTGTCATCTTCGAATTGCTCTACGCGTCGTTTCTCCACATCATCAACGCAAACACACACACATACATACACACGTGTACAGTCACAATTTCGCTTCGACAACGAGTGCTATTTGAACCTGCCGGACAATCACAAACGGGTGAGTCAAAACAACAGCAACAGCAACACCTCCACGACGGTGCAGCTGGCCGAACAAGAAGCTCAGGCTATCGACTGGGCCGATGAGAAACTCGATTTGAGTGCGGCTTTTGCGAAAATACGTGCTGTGCTCTCAGCGCGAAATGCTTCAGCCAATGCGGTGCTCAATGCCTTAGGTGGTGTTGTGGTGGTCGATCAGACTGCCGGTGGCGCCATTACGTCGGGCACCTCCATGACGACACCGTCGGCGGTGG